TATTTAAGGAAGAAAGGCAGCAAATGTTGTACATGCTGGTTGCAGTGCATTTCTCTCTGAAATTCTGGGGAACATGGGTCGTTCCAGACATTGTTCAGAAGAACAGCGTACCTTGATAAAAAAGTTAATTGGAGAGGGGAAAACATATAAAGAAGTGCAGAAAATGATAGGCTGCTCAGCTAAAATGATCGCAAATGCTTTAAAATGGCAACCAAAACCTGAAAGACTTGGAAGAAAGCAAAAAACTACCATTGGAATGGATAGCAGAATAGCCAAAATGGTAAGGACTCAACAATCAGCTCCAGGAAGATCAAAGAAGGTCTAAAGTTACCTGTGAGTACGTTACAATTAGAAGACGCCTATGTGAAGCCAAGCTATCTGCAAGAAGCCCCCGCAAAGTCCCACTGTTGAAAAAAAGACGTGTTGAAGAGGTTACAATTTGCCAAAGAGCACATTGACTGGCCTAAAGAGAAATGGCGCAACATTTTGTGGACTGATGAAAGTAAGATTGTTCTTTTTGGGTCTAGTGGCCGGAGACAGTTTGTCAGACGACCCCCAAACACTGAATTCAAGCCACAGTACACTGTAAAGACAGTGAAGTGTGGTTGCGCAAGCATCATGATATGGGGATGTTTCTCATACTACGGTGTTGGGCCTATTTATCGCATACCAGGGATCATGGATCAGTTTGAATACATCAGAATACTTGAAGAGGTCATGCTGCCTTATGCTGAAAAGGAAATGCCCTAGAAATGGGTGTTCCAACAAGACAACGACCCCAAACACACCAGTAAACGTGCAACATCTTGGTTCCAGACCAACAAGATTGACGTTATGGAGTGGCCAGCCCAATCCCCGGATCTTAATCCAATAGAAAACTTGTGGGGTGACATCAAAAATGCAGTTTCTGAGGCAAAACCAAGAAATAGAGAAGAACTGTAGAATGTAGTCCAATCCTCCTGGGCTGGAATACCTGTTCACAGGTGCCAGAAGTTGGTTGACTCCATGCAACACAGATGTACAGCAGTTCTCAGAAACGGTGCCTATACAACTAAATATTCATTAAGTGATTCAAAGGAAAGCAAAATCTTCAAACATTTTTCAGTTTATATAGTGAATGATTGAGTTTGTAAAGAAGAATACAAACACTGCTATTTTTTGAACAGTCTAATATTCAGTTTTCTTCAATTTTTTTAGAGGAACAACACAAATATGATATATTATTTTTCTTCATGTTTTGATTTGGAATAGAATGTGTAGTGTCCCCAATGCATTTGTGTGTATGGAAATAAAAGCTATTAAAAAGATTTTGAGCTTTATTCACTTTTGTCAACACACTGCTATTATTTTGAACACAACTGTACAATGGTCACCTAACTTATACATTTGTTACCTTGGGGCAAAGTGTCTATTTAAGACTATTAGAAAATGATGAAAACAAAATCCTCTCTTGAACCATGTAACCATTTTACCTCTGGAGCAAATTTAAATGTGCATTTCTGGCTATTAAATTACTTAAATCCTTTGTCCAGAACATTATACATTTTATGAACACAGAGGCCCTGAAGAATAAAAATATGGTAGTTGCAGTTTTTTTGTTGCACAGCTTTTTATTTTCAGCAAAAATACAATAAAATAGGTATCAGATATGTTAAGCCTAAAAATTTCATGCATCCACGAAATGGTGAATTACAGTACCCAGATTATCATATGGTGATCCTTTTAAGGGCCTTATAGATCATCAGTTTAAAGTTAACCAGAAATGAGGAACTCTGATATGTGTGGTGATACCCAATATGTGTTGCTCAATTGTTTACATATACATGGGCCCCCTACGTATGCGTTTGCATTCGTGTGCAAGGGGAGTTGGGAGTGTTTCTATAATTTTTTATTTACGTTGCTTTGGCTTTTTTTTTTTTAATTTGTAAACCATTTTTTAATTCTGTTAAAGTGGTTGTAAACCTCAGACATGCAAAATGAACCAAGCACAGCTCACTAGCATGTACTAACTTGAATCTAAAACATCAAGCCAGGCTTCAATGGCCAAGGAGCAAGGGTCCAAAATATAAATGGTAGCACTAAGAGCCTTTAGGAAGAAAAAGTGAAGACATCCAAAACACCTTCTTCAAGGGGCTGCAGGTTAGCCAAAGAAAAAATAGCTATCCCTAGTTTGACGGACAAAAAGTAATCATGACAGAGGTCAGAGGATACCTGCAGCAGGAGACTAGTGTATACTACCTGCTAACAGTACAGGGAAGGCCAGGGCCCTCCAGAGATTATCTCCACCTGTTCCATAAGATCTGAGGCATGCACCTAGGTATGTGAACATGTCCTTTATGTCCAGAAGCTAGCAGATTAGCGTAACCAAGTACTAAGGACTTGTTGAAGGTAATCGGAGCGAGCAAGGCTGAGACTCATTCTAGTCCAGCGCAGGAATCAGTCTACTTCCCTGATGGTAGGACTCCCACCACTCTGTGGTGAAGGCACAGCAGCACCTAGATGGTGTCAGACAAAATCTGAACAAAGAAACCTGCATAAGCTGGGAACCCTTAATGAAGAAGGAACCACCTGTTTTTAAAGTAGCCCCAAGGATAATGGTTCTCCATTTAGATAGGGTCAACCTAGTCCCAAGTGACATTCCCCAGTGCTGAAAACTGAATATATGAAATCCAGCCAGCTCCTGCAGGTAGTAGGCTGTTTGTAACGATGCTGACTACAGGAATCCATGAAGTTGACTTTCTTAGCAGGAGTGCGTCTGGGCGTCCCACAATGAGGAATGAAGGAAAAGTCACTAGACTGAACACAGGAGGGAGTGCTCTCAGAAGTAAGAATGTGGCTTCAGTGTCCAATGGTGACTATGAGGATCCAGGTTCATATCCAGATAGTGACCAGTCAGGGCCGATCCCTGGCAGCCTAGTAGGTCAGAGGTTCCCTCTGGACAGTAGAGATGCTAAGGGTTATCATGTACCATTAAGGGCTTTTTATATCTCGAAAATGATATTTTCCTGAGGGAAAGAGTGATGGCCTGGAAAAGGTGTGTTAATCTGTGCAGTAGCAAAAAGGAGATAGGCGGGTGCAGCTGAAGGGGGTTCCAGAGGCAAAGGATTGGCCTGGGAGTCTGAAGGGGTGCTCTCTGCAGTCCTGGTTCACAATTAGCCCCCCATTTGTAGAAGTGGGGGCACAGCTTCATGTCAAAGGTTTTTCAGAGGGCTTAGCTGCTTTCTGACTTTAAACCTTATGAGAGTCTGTCTGAGAGTCAGGCTCTGAGAACCTGGAGACATCTACAGCAGAAGTAGATGGAGAAGGATGGGACACAGCTGACCTCTTCCTAAATGTCCAACGTTGCATGTAGGAGTACACTTTGGCCTCCCATGGCACCTTGATGATGATTTCAAGTGTAGAACCAAATGAATGACATCCCTCAAAGGCCAAGCAAGTCAGATGTTGCCATTCCAGAATGCTTTCCACATATGTATAGGAATTGGATCAATAGAAGGGTTAGGCTCCAAACATCTGTTCCATGTGCTCAGTTAGGAAGGCATCTACCTGTTAGTTGAGTGATCCTTTTTGATGGACCTAATCTATTCTGCCATGGTTTGACAAATTAAGGTCACAGCCAGTACAGGACAAAGGATAGAACCTGCCAGAGCAAACTAACATTTATGGAGGGATTGTCAGTAACATCCTGTCAGTAGAGTCCTTAAAGGAAGACCCACCCTCCACCTCAAAGAGCAGGTATAATGGGAAGGACTTTTCAGTTGTAGGAGCTCTTAAAGATCGAAGACTAGGGGCAGCAAACTGATCCTCCAAATGCAGGTTAGTGCATACTACATCATTAAAGGCTGAAGTAAATTGTAATAATTCAGATGTGATTGCAGTGCCCCCAAAAACAGTCTGTTCAGGTCAAAGGTAGACTTTGTAGAGGATGGTGCTGGAACACCCTTAGACCTTTTTTTGGTCAGTATTGATTAAATCTGTCCACAAAGTCTTGTGCGGCTGTAGTAGAGGCCTCCGGCAGCAAGGTATGGGACTTGGTCTCACCTAACAGAGCTGAGGAAGACATCGATCATGTAGATCCTATACCTACAGGGTATTCCAGACTACAGGCATAGGTGCCTTCAGAGTAGACTCCCTTGGAACCATTAGGAGAATATTGGCCTCGGTCATCCATAGCAGTGGGATTGTCGCTTTAGATGTGTCTATGCAGGCATGTTACAACTGAAGGCCCAAAGTGTCAGGGCAAGGCCTCAGATACTCCCAAATCCAGACAGCGGGTGCTAATATCTAATTGCCTCTTGGGGTATCAGGAAGGAATTTTTCCCCTGCTGGAGAAAATTTGTTAATGTGCTGCTGGGTTTTTTTTTTTTGCCTTCCTGTGGATCAACTGTGGGTGTAGGATTGTGTATGTAGTATTGTATTTTTTTTTTCATTTTATTAATTGAACTAGATGGACCTGTCTTTTTTTTCAACCAGACTAACTATGTAATGAGGGTCAGGCGGCTTTGCAAAAGTGGATGTGTGACACCCGACCTGTCAAATAACTTTAGTCCCTCAGTGTTCACTCCTTCAGCGGTACAACTAATGGTAGCAGGACTATTGAAAAGGTGCCCATTGGTGCATTTATTAAGGTAGCGTCCAGTGCTTCAGCCCACTTAACCTACTCAACATATCGAGTCTTCAGAGACAGGACATGCGCTGATGGAGTGATACCTTGCTTATCTAACCAGCAAGGGAGTAACGCATGGAAACCGCTAAGTATTTATGTATAGTGATCCTGTTGCTGACAAATTGTCACCAGGGACATGACTGGTAGCATGCTATGCCCCAAAAATGTGTATGCTTGTACTTTTTACTTCTTGTTCTTGATTATATCGATAATATAATGGTTGTTACCAGAAATGGTGGTACCCGTTATAATATATGGTTATTTTTACCTGTAAATAAAGATTATTGCTTCTAAGTTCACTGATACTATAGCTTTGTGCTTTTCCCTTCATCAGGCAGAGAGCAAACAAACAGGCCGAAGTGTCTTCCGCAGTGCACTCCTAAACAGACTGCAGAGTGAATATCGGAATCGAGAGGAGATGAGAGCACGATCTGTGCAAGAATGGGTGTGCTATGTCAGCTTTATCTGCAATGTCTTTGACTATCTGAGGGTAAGTTTGATAAGTGTATCTACTATGTAATTTAATGGATCTGAAAGTTGAGCAATTAGGGTATTCAAACAATTTCAGGTGACTTAGAGGGAAGCAAAACATATAGTAAATATAGTTCCATTTTGCCTTAAAGGAAGATCCTACAAAACATCATCAACCTTGATTGTTTGGGATTCCTACATGTACTTGTTAGGAAACCAGGTATTGCAGAAGCATAATTTTGTTAATGTGCTACCTGAAAGTGTCTTAATCGTAGGAAAATTAAAGACTATCAGGTCAGGGTTAGAATTGTGTAGTTAGGCACATTTCACTTACATTTTGATCCAGGAATTTGTATCTTGCCAGTACATGTTGACCCCTTCATGTTCCTCTGCACCATTCTGGTTGTTGGTGTAATTTGCATAGACATCTATGAGGCGAGTAACTAATTCTAGGCCTGTATACAAGTGACAGGACCTGGATCTTTAAAAATGGAATCTTTAGATGTGAACCATGGAGTTAAATATAAATTATTTCATTACATAATTTCATTATCTTTCTACTCCTGGTTTAGCATCTGTCCTTTCTTACTGTACTATCCTCTGAATGTCTCTACTTTATTCTTTAATTTTTTAACATCACCTTTAACAGGTTTTGTAATCAGTTTTACAAAAAAACTTGCTGTGTCCTGCCTGAAAGTTGTTACCGCAATTGCACCAAAGTATCCGTAAATTCTGGCTCCACCTTTCTGTAATCTAAGCTTTTTACTTGGAAAAAATATGGCTCCAGGCTTGCTTTAGTGCTGATCACATGAACAAATGCTAAGGCATTTTGGTCACGCGATTTCTGCTGAAGGTTATGAACTTTGCCCTTCCTTCCTGTATTCAATAGGGATGTCATAATTAGGAAAGGTAAACGGGGCTATACATTATGCAGTTTTCTTTCCTTCAACCTGTGGTTGAAGGAAAGAAAACTGCATAACGTATGACTGCCCTTAAGAAAATCGCTCAATTCAATGACTGTTTGTGGGTGAATCCTTCAACTGCGCTATTGTTCTCTGACAGCGGGAGGTTTCCCTGCTGTCAGAATACAAGGATCACTGCTGTCCTCTATAGCCAGCAGCAGTGATCATACAAAAAAAAAAAAGCCCGACAGGCTGGTTGTACTGAACTGGATCAATAGATCGGCTTCAGTACAACCAGCATTGCCCATAGATGGATCAAAATTTGGCCAATTCCTGGTGAACATGCTGAATTTCAATCTGCCTATGGCCGGATTATCTGATAATCTATTTATCCATACCAGCTAACAACTTTATATTGACATTTGACTGTTGGTCCACCTTTAACCTTTCATGACCAAATGTAATTGAAGCCTTAAATATCCAGGCCACATTTAGTAGCATTGGTGAACTTGACTGTAAATCTCTGATTCATTTGCATACAAATAATTTTTAAATTTAAGGACATATAAGGATCACATTTCTTTAAACACTTTTAAGAGAAATCCTGCTGTATATCTATTACAACTTTTTAAAACTTTTTTAATGTATTCGTTTTTTAATACTGTAGTTGTATCCAACAATCACAGTATTAAACAAGCACACTGTGATCAGAGACTGCAGTTGCCTCTGCAAACTCATACAATTTCTCTGAATGGAATATTCAGCTTGTATGTGATCACAACTTTTGATTGCTTCCCTATTATTAGTGAGGTCTAAAGCTGTCAACAAGAGCTGTGTTTTGATGGCTATCAGCTGTAATGAGGAAGTGTGTATGTATGTGTATGTGTATATATATATTGTGGAGAAAAGGGGGTTAAAAAGCTTCTTCTCCTCTTTATCATCTTTTGCAATAAAAAAAAAAAAAAAAAAAAAAGGAATTAAGCAGTTTACATTGAGGATCTGTGTGCTGTTGTAGAGGGAGATGCATAATATTTTTGGTTAAGGTGATTGTAAACCCTCCCATTGTAAAACAACCCATTCAGTTTAAAATAGAAACGGTGGGGTGTAAGGACAAATTTGACTATTTGAGGAGAGCAGGCTGAGTTTCCAGCATAGCTAGAGAACTGACCACACTGTGCTTTCCTGTTTAATGTGGCCAGTTTTTGATAGGAAAGCGGAGGAACTGGAAGGAACACGCGGAAGTACATAGTACAGCAGGCACATATCAGAAATATGAAATGCTGGGTTTACATATACTTTAACTGACACATATAGTTAAAATCTTAATGCTGAACTATACTCAACATCCCTCCCACTGATGTGACACCTACTGGCTTCTTCTTCTTCTGGGTTCAGGATCTTTGAACATGATTGGCCTGACCAGGTTGATGCCAGAATTGTACTTTGCACATGTTAAGCTTGGGCGCAGGAAGTTAAGAATCCTTCATTGCCATAAATTAAAAAAAAATGAATTTATCCTATTTTTCTTTGAGTTACATGGGGAAGACTTAAAGTGATAGTAAAGGCTCAAGGTTTTTTTTTACCTTCATGCATTTTATGCATGAAGGTAAAAAACCTCTGTGCAGCAGCTCCCCCAGCCCCCTCTAATACTCACGTTAGCCCCCTCTAGATCCAGCGATGGGCACTGGAGTCATGGCTGTCCTGGGACTGCCTCTCCTCATTGGCTGAGACCATCACAGCTAGTGAGCCAATGAGAAGAGAGAAGAGGCAGGGTCGAGACGCGGCTCCATGTGTGAGTGGACACACGGAGCAGCAGGTGCCCCCATAGCAAGCTGCTTGCTGTGAGGGCACCCGACAGGAGGGAGGGGCTAGGAGATCCTGTGGGGGACCCAAGAAGAGGAGGATATGGGCTACTCTGTTCAAAACCACTGCACACAGCAGGTAAGTATAGACATGTTTGTTATTGTTAGGAAAAAAAGTTAAGCCTTTAGTATCTCTTTTAACCCTTACTAGGTTTTTATTGTTATCTGTGTCCTTTCTGGGGAGATTCACTCCTCTGCAATTCAAAATTTTATGGTTGTCACTGGTGCAAGAGGTGAGGGAAAAATCCGGTTCCTGTAACAACTCCCTAAAATGGGAATATTTCCGTATTTTCCCAATGACACAGGGGGCTGAAGGAAGAGGAGAAGCTAAAATAGCAATAGAGGGGAAGTCTTCAAATGGGGAAACTTGTTCCTGTGGCAGCTGTCTAAAGAGGGATTCCTCCACTTTGGAGTCATTTCCTCTCACTTCCTGTTGACTCTATAGGACAAGAAAAGAAGTGAAATCTTCCCAATCAGACACAAATGGCAAAAATAAAATAATAGGGTTTTTTCTTTACACTTTCCTACTTTAAACAAAGTGGGGAAAAAAAGGTTTGGCTTTAGATATTCTTTAAAATGGCATTGAGTTTGATTTTCAATTTGTATCTTGTTTACCACCTGAAAGGTCAGATATTAGTTCACTATGCCAATGTAAAAAAAAATAAAATACTAGCACAGGTGCTATGAAGTATTCTGGGTATAGAGAGAGGTCTTTCCATATTGCTACAGGAGGTATCAGAATCTTTGTTCACATTTTAATTGAAACCTTGAAGGAGAGATACAGCCAAAGCTCTTTTGGCTGTTCTTCTGCTGTGGATCACAGGAGTGCAGAGCAAACTGCACTCCTGTGACCCGTTTTCAGCTGAAGCCTGCTGTTGGCTGAAGTCACTCAGCCGGTCCAGGCTGGGGAACGATTCCAACTTTAAAGTCAGAATCCACCCCAGAGTCTGGAGGGGCACATGGCTCATGCTCTCAACAAGCCACTGAGAGCCTGAACCAACCGCTCCCTCCCCCTCCACAGCCAAGCACTCCAGTGAGCGCCAGGGGGGGAGGGGGGGCAGAGAAGGCAGCGGTGCACAGAGCGGCTGTGAGAACTCGGCGGTCACATGATCGCTGAGTTCTCACATTTAGAGCCAACAGGGGACCGATGCAGCATCATACCGATGCTGCATCCACCTACGTAAGTGTAACTGGGGAAAAAAAGAAAGCCATACTATCGTCTTTTGGAGAAAACTGGTCAAAAAGTAGAGCATGTATCAGGCACTTCAATAAAATGCACACAACTCCTTGGGTTATATCTTTATTCCAATGTTTTCTTTTTTTTTTAAGAAAAAAATGTACTATAAAAAATATTGAGAGAGTTCCAAAATTCAGAATTTGTTTCCCTTTAGGTCAACAATGTGCCGATGTTGGCCCTGGTTAATCCTGTGTATGACTGCCTTTTCGAGTTAGCACAACCTGAGAGTCTACAGAGAGAGGAAGAGGTACAGACATAAATAGCCATTGCTGATTTATTCAACCAGTTGACTTCTGGAAGGTTTTAACTCCTTCGTGACCAGTCTATTTTTTGCTATTCATCACTGTGCTACTTTAACTGGCACTTGCAACACTTTACCCAAATTAGATTTTTATAATTTTTTCACACAAATAGAGCTTTCTTTTGGTGGTATTTGATCACCTCTGGGTTTATATTTTTTTTTTCTATATAAACAAAAAAAGACAGAACATTAAAAAATATATATATTCTTTACTTTCTGTTCTAAAACATATCAAATACAGTCAGATTTCTTCATAAGTTTAGGCCAAATCATCTGCTACATGTCTTTGGTAAAAAAAAAAATCCCAGTAAATGTATATTAACCACTTTCCCGACGCCCTATAGCAGAAATATTGCTACAGGGCGGCAGGGCTGCACAAAATCACTTCTATATACGTGATTTTGCATTTCCGGGTGGGGGGTGCGCGCACCTTACCTGCGCCGCCATTGTCGTCCTCAGCTATTGATTACTGGGTCCCGGACGGTGATTCCCCGCCGGCACCTGGTGATCGCTGAGTATCACTGACAGGGAAGAGACCTGTATGTAAACAATACAGATCTCTCCCCTGTCAACTCCTGCACATTGCTTTGTATGCTCTGCATAGCACTAGTAACACTGGCGGGGAAATTAGTGTTTTGTTTCCATCTGTCTATTGGTCAGTAAGACCCAATTAGGACATTGCATTTTTGTAGATCACAGGAGTGCACTTATTTTGCTCTCCTGTGACTCAGAATCAGCCGACAGTGGGCTATAGTCTGCTGGCAGCTGACGTGTTGGAGCCTCTCCAGGTTCTGGGAAGATATAACAGTATATGTTGGGATCCACCCAGCCAACTGATTCTCCGCTTGTGGCTGAGAGCCAGAGCCAGCTGAGCCCACCCCTCCTTTGCCTAATGTTCCAGTAAGCACTGGAGGAACAGAGCAGCGTCTGACAGTCATTGCTCTATGCTATGAGTGATCAGCTGTCATGTGATCTCAGTCTTAGAGCCAACATGGGACAGTTGCAGCATCACGCAGATATTGCAGCATAGAGGTGAGTGTGTATGTGTTTGTATATATACAGATATATTCAAAATAATAGCAGTCCAACATCACTAACCAGATCAATCACTGTTTTTGGTATAAATTATATTTCTACATGGCAAATAATTTACTAGTAGGTGTAGTAGAGTAATAGAAAAAACAATATTCAGAAGACCCAACATTCATGACATTCATGCTGTTGATTCTGTGTAATTGAATCATTAATTGAAAGGGGCATGTTCAGAATAATAGCAGCGTGGAGTTCAATTAGTGACGTCATTCAGTCTGTGAAAAAACGCGTCAAATAGGTGGCCCTTATTTAAAGGATAAATTCACCTTTGGAACATGTTGCATTATCCACCCATAGTCACAGCTGCGCCCACCGCTCCCCCTCCCTCTGACAGATAGTATAGGGAAACTTCTAGGTACTATCTGTCAGATTTGAAAACTGAGTGCCTACAAGTCCCACAGCCTTAGTTGCTGTGGGCTTGTAGTTTTCAATGAACTACCACGGCACTGTGAAGCGCCGTGGTAGTTCATTGAAGCTTCCTGTCAGTATATCTGCTTGCTCGTACATCCCGTACGGCAAGCAGATATATTCTGACAGGTCTGCATGGCATCAGCGATCTACTGATCGCTTGTGCAAAGCTTTACAGGCTCCTTTGGGCAAAAATAATAAATGCACATTTTTTTACCTGCAAAAAAAGTGTGCATTTTATTATCTTTGTCCAAAAGGTGACCTTATCCTTTAAAGTGGAACTGTACTGCATCTGAGTACCACAAACCAAAAATGCTATATAATTCATTTTTAATATTCAAAACAAACGCCTCCATCCATCCATGTCTCCATGCTTTATTTTGCTGAGAAGTCATTTTAAAAAACACCTCCTGGCATTTCTGGCAGTGGCAAGGGCAGATAATTCATGTAGCATTTACTTCCTGGAATTCATCTGTTCTTAGCTCAGGTATTGGCTGAGCTTAGAACCCTTCCTCCCCTCCTGAAGACTCCTGGGATTTATGACATCATTTGCTCAGGCATGGAAACCAGGACGTAAATGAAGGAATGCAAAAAAAAAAAAGGTTAAAACAATTAAGTATTATATACTTTCTTATCTATTTACTAATGCTAGCAGCATTAGATTAGATTATATATTAGAAATAGTCAACGTTGATTGAGGGAGTGAAGTTCCACTTTAAGGAAGAAGGCAGCAAATATTGTACAAGCTGGGTATAGTGCATTTCTCTCTAAAAATCTGAGTAAAATGGGTCATACCGGACATTTGTCATAACAGCGTACTTTGATTAAAAAGTTGATTGAAGAGGGGAAAGAAGTGCAGAAACTGATAAAGCTAAAATGATCTCAAATGCCTTAAAATGGCAAAACAAAACCAGAAAGATGTGGAAGAAAATGGAAAACTACCATTCAAATGGATCAAAGAATAGTCAAAATGGCCAATGATCAGCTCCAGGGTGATCAAAAAAGGTCTAAAGTTACCTGTAATATTGTAACAATTAGAAAGAACAAGCTCCGTGCAAGAAGCCCCCGCAAAGTCCTATTGTTGAAAAAAATGATGCGCTGAAGAGGCTACAATGAACACATTAATTGGCCTAAAGAGAAATGGCACAACATTTTGTGGACTGTTGAAAGCAAGATTGTTCTTTATTGGGTCTTGAGGCCACAGACTGTTTGTCAGGCAACTCCCAAACACTGAATTCAAGCCACAGTACATTGTGAAGACAGTGAAGCATGGTGGTGCAAGCATCATGATATGGGGATGTTTCTCATACTACGGTGTTGGGCCTATTTATCGCATACCAGGGATCATGGATCAGTTTGAACACATCAAAATACTTGAAGAGGTCATGCTGCCTTATGCTGAAGAGGAAATTCCCTTGAAATAGGTGATTCAAAAAGACAGCTACCCCAAACACACCGGTAAGTGAGCAGCATCTTGGTTCCAGACCAACAAGATAAACATTCTGGAGTGGCCAGCCCAATTCCCAGGCTTTTAATCCAATAGAAAACTTGTGGGTTGACATAAAAAATGCTGTTTCTGAGGTAAAACCAAGAAATGTAGAGGAATTGTGCAATGTAGTCCAATCATCCTGGGCTGGAATACCTGTTCACAGGTGCCAGAAGTTGGTTGACTCCATGTAACACAGATGTAAACCAGTTCTCGGAAATGGTGACTATACAACTAAATATCCAGTGTTTCATAGGAAAGCTAAATCTTCAAGCATTTTTCAGTTTATACAGTAAATGTATAAACTTTTTTTTATTTCTTCACTTCCTGTAAAGCTATAACAAATTTGAATCATTTTTCTTCATGTTTTGGTTTGGAATAGACTGTGTAGTGTTCCCAATGCATTTGCGTGTATGGAAATAAAAGCCATTGTAAGGTTTTTTAACTTTGCTCACTGTTTTAAACACACTGCTATTATTTTGAACACAACTGTGTGTGTACGTGTGTGTGTATATATATATATATATATATATATATATATATATATATATATATATAAAATTATAAAATATATAAGTTTTGGCAATCACAAACTTCACCTTTTTAAGTGAAAAAGGGCAACATGTTATTCCTAATTCAGTAAGGCCTAGATCCTATCTTTTTTTTTTTTTTTTTTTTGGGGCCATATACTAGCATTTAATTGTATTTTGTGTGAATTCTGTACTGACAAAACCGTTTCCAACCTACTTTAGCTGGTAGCCCGTGGTTATTTCTTGAAAAAAAAAAGAGAGATGCTGGGTGGGTTTATATGCAGTCAGTTAATATTATACAGTGGACTGAATAACTAACCTTTGCTTTGCTCACAGGTGGACTGTCTAGTTCTGCAGTTACATCGTGTTGGGGAACAACTGGAGAAGATGAATGCACAGAGAATGGATGAGCTTTTTTCCATCTTAAGGGATAGTTTCCTACTTCAAAATGGACTGGGATCATTGGCTCAACTTCTTTTGCTTGAGATGATTGAGTATCGGGCAGCTGGATGGAAAATGACAGATGCTGCACATAAGTATTATTACAGTGAAATGTCCGATTGACATGGACATGAAGTTGATTTTAATGAAAGGACCATTGTTTAGGATAACCTGTTTCCTGCCAGGGGAGCCAATACACTCAGCAATCATTTTATTCTCATTTGAAGGAGTAGATTAAGCACAAAAACTTTCCTGATAGGTGCTTGATCTCTTGCAGTAATTGTTTGACTTTATGGGTCTATTCACACCTGATGTGTTCCAATACAGTGGCTGGTGTGCAGTTGGATGCAGCAGGATGACTGCAGTGCTGATCTGCTGATTTTGACACACTGCACTGCTCACTTGGCTGCCACGAGGCGGTCAATTGCCTCATGCTTAGCTGAAAAAAGTATGGGTTGCCGGCCAGGTAGGGGTTGAGGAATTTTGCCTTATCTTGCTGTACGGCTCTGGTGCTACTGCGCTGGAATATCTGCCCAGCACACCTGGTGTGAATCTACCCTAAGGGTTTGTTTACACTACCAGCAGCCCTTGCTGCCTTTCTGAAACATGATCAGTAGAGGAGGCTGGGAGGTGATATGCCATCTCCTAATCTGTTTAAACTCAGAATCACTGGCTGTGGCACGGCCCGATTCACTTGAATGAAAAGCGGTACAATTTTTTTGTCATGAAGTAAACCATCACGAGCATGGCATGTGTACAGTCCCCTTCGACCATTGTGTTGAGTTAAGCAGAGCAGTAAAACTGTGTCCCAACAGTCTGTTTTTAACTACTTCCACTTGGGTGGCACGTGTAAACCAGCCTTTAGGCCTTTTTATCATGCTTAGCCATTGCCTTGTTTTTAGAGCAATAGTATAATCTGCAATGAATAGATGGGTACATATGAGGCCAGTTGCATTGTTTAATTTCCATGGCTGCTAATGGCCCTTTACGGTGTCCACCCCTAATCTACATTCGAAGTGGGGAGGCAATCTCTGTGTAAGAATAGATGTTTGGTGCTGGGAACCTGCATGACATAAGACCAGATCCCAGTCTCCTGGCTGACGCAGAACAGGTCTTCAGTAGCAGTGCATTTTAAACAGTTCAGCACAATTTATATTGACCATTCTGTTTTAAGATAAGGTATAGGTCTATAAGAAAATAATTTTATCAAGGTAATTTTATCAAGAATACAAGCAAAACATTTTTGGTGAAAAAAAAATGGAAATTGTATTTGTGGGCTAAATCCACATGCAATCTGGCATAAAGCAAAATGCCAGGGTGAGAAGCTTGAGCTAGAGGCTGCCATGCTAGGTACCAGGCCCTATAACTTTGGTAGTTTTAAGGTGATACTATTTAACTTAATTATGTCTTGTCCTTGGCTAGTGTCCATACTAGGGTATGTAGCCCAGAATTTGGATAATAATTGCTTTGGTCTGAGGTTTCTTTCACGGGTATTTTTATTTTGTGACGTGCTTTTATATTACTGACTTCTCTGGTAGTAATGTTGTTGTTCACGTTAACTTGAATTCTTGAATGTACCATAATGAAAGAAACCCTGTCCTTTGTAAAGGTTTCCTTACAGTGGTTGTAAACCTCTGAAATGAAAAATGAACAGAGCATAACCCTCTGTAGGGTGTACTAGCCTCAATTCAAAGCACCTAGTGTGATTTCTGTCTACTCTCTCTTCCCTCTGCTGTCTGGAGAGGGATAGCACATGCTTCAGCACTCCACAGGTGATTGATAGCCTCAGCTGTGCATGTTTCTCTAAGACTGTGTAGAGGAGGGTGTGTCATTTCCTGAGTCTCAGATTACATGCACCTCTCCTCTCTATGCTGTGCATAGTGTGACATCCGATATCTCTGGTTGCTGGAGCTGATAAATAGCCTTTGATCTGTGTGTTTTAAGAGGTTGCACTAAGAGGAGGCAGCTTACAGATAAAAAGGTACAACTTATGTAGAAGGATTTGTTTAATCTCTGCGTATCATCTGAGACTAGTCACTTCACAGGGTGTATATATAAGGGTTTTCAACCACTTTAACAGTGTCAGTCTATGTGTAGCAGACATATTAAAAGAAACCTCAGACCTCTGTCTGAAAACACTAGTTGCTTGGATGCTATACTGACTTAATTACTTCAGTAATTAGAGTCATTTGCCCAGAACCATTATCAGCCTTGAGAGTTCTGATTTTGCATGCTGATAAAGTATGGAAGCCAGAAATGGTAACTAGTATTTTCAGCAGTGACTGTGTCTGTATTTTTGGTAAAGGTTTTCCTTTATGCCAGGGGTCTCCAAACTATGTCCCTCCAGCTGTTGAAGTACTATAAGCCCCATCATGCCTCTGAATCTGGGGGTCCTGCCTGTGACTGTCTGAGGCTTGCAAGGCCTCATAGGACTTGCAGTTCCTCAACACCTGGAGGGTTTGGAGTTTGGAGACCCCTGTTTTACGCTATTTGGGCTTCCTCACTGCCAGAGCTGTTTTGCCAGAGCAAAACCGCTAGTTCTTCAGTTAAGGGATCCTGCGTTCTATAATGTAAAGCTTGAAGACTGCTGTCGTGGGGCTGAGACAAGATTGCTTACCCAGGTAAGTTTTAACTTTCAAGAAATGCAGCAGTGAGGGATCATTGGCAATGTAAGTGAGGGGAGCTTAGAGCTTAATTGCTGTCTAACAAGACCGACAGGTGGTTAAAACCGCATTTACTGAGTGCTTGTTTACTTTGTATGGTGTGAATATGCAGCATTGCAGCAATGTAGATTCTCAAGATGACCCACCCCTTCCCCTAAAGGGGTGAACACAGCATGGTTAGACTGAAACTACCTAAGCAATAACAATTTTCTTGTTAGGTGGGTGTATTTAAAGCATTCCAGCAATATTCAGTATAGGTTCATTTTTTAAGTGGGTTTTTGAAAACTGCACAAAATTATGATGTACGTTATGCTTTTAAGAAACCTGCTCTTTAAGTTAAAATCATTAATGGCTCCCTCTGTAATCAAAGGTATAAATAAATCAAACCTTAGATGCTGATTAGTTGGCTTTTGCTGTCCCCATGGCCTGCCCACTTCCATGCAGTTTTTACATGTACGTCCTGGCCACCTGTGAGTTTTGCACTGCCATAGAGAATAGTGGGTTGAGTTTCACTTGTACATAATATTTGTTCCATGTGAGGTATGCAGGTTTCTTGTATACATTCTTGACAGATGGCCGTGACATGGCTATGAGAATCTGGATGGGAGCAGGCACATAGATATTTTCAGGTATAGTTATTAATGAAAGATTACATAGGCAGACAGCACTGTACAGTGGAGGAAATAAGTATTTGATCCCCTGCAGATTTTGTACGTTTGCCCACTTACAAAGAAATGAAGGGTCTATAATTTTTATCATAGGTGTATTTTAAATGATAGAGACAGAATATCAACCAAAAATCCAGAAAAAAAACACGATTAAAATGTTGTAAATTAAGTTGCAGTTCAGTGAGTAAAATAAGTATTTGATACCCTACAGAACAACAATAATTCTGGCTCCCACAGACTGGCTGTGCTCATGTGGTACACAGATTAGTCCTGTCAATTTAAGAAGGTGACCGAACGATAAAAATTGTGTATAAAAGGCACCTGTCCACAAGATATTTCTTCCATTCAAACTTCACCACCATGGGCAAGAGCTGTCAAAGGACATCAGGGACAAGATTGTAGACCTGTACAAGGCTGGAAAGGGCTACAAGACGATCAAAAAGAATTTTGGTGAGAAGGAAACAACTGTTGGAGCGATTATTTGCAAATGAAGAAATGCAAAATACCTATCAATCGCCCTTGGTCTGGAGCTCCATGCAAGATTTTGCCTCATGGGGTAAGGATGATCACGAGAAAAGTGAGGGATTAGTCCAGAACTACACGGGAGGAGCTTGTGAATGATCTAAAGACAGTTGGGACTAGTCTCCAAACAAACCAGTGGTAACAAAATATGCCTCCATGTATTGAAATCCTGCAGGGCCCGCAAGGTCCCCCTCCTCAAGAAGGCACATGTACAGGCCCATCTTAAGTTTGCCAATGAACATCTAAATGATTCAGAGAAGGATTGGGACAAAGTGCTGTAGTCAGATGAGACTAAAATTGACATTAACTCAACTCGCCGTGTTTGGAGGAAGACAAATGCTGACTATGACCCTATGACTATGGATTGGCCTAGCTAGTCTCCAGACCTTAATCCTATAGAAAATTTGGGAAGGGAGCTGAAACTTTGTGTTGCCAAGTGACAGCCAAGAAACCTTAAGGATTTAGAGAAGATCTGTAAAGAACAGTGGACCAAAATCCCTCCTGAGATGTGTGCAAACCTGGTAACCAACTACAAGAAATGTCTTACCTCTGTGCTTGCCAATAAGGGTTTCTCCACCAAGTAAGTCATGTTTTGCTTGGGGATCAAATACTTATTTTACTCACTGAACTGCAACTCAATTTATAACATTTGTATCTTGTGTTTTTTTTTCAGTTTTTTTGATTGATATTCTGTCTCTGTCATTTAAAATAAACCTATGTTAAAATTCATAGACACTTCATTTCTTTGTAAGTGGGAAAAATGTGCAAAATCTGCAGGGGATCAAATAATTATTTTTTCCACTGTATGTACCAACTTCATTCTTACAACCCTGACAAGTGATAACTACCAGGAAGAGCATTTGTTCTCTGCCTAGGTCCTGGCTCTGAGGGTTTGAGTGTGATCCTTTTTTTTTTTTTTGTGGGACTGATGACTAAATTGTTTAATTTATTGTGAATTATTTAGAGAGGTGTTTGCCCTTGATTGCCATCTGAAGCAGATACATGGGGTCTTTATTTAGTAAAGCAAACATAAGTGACCAATCAAAAATAATTTTATCTTTTGTTCATTGACAGACACAGCGATTTTAATAGTCTTGACCATAGGGTTATATCGCCCCCTACAGGATTAGGGCACTAGGCAGAAAAAGAAACTGCACCGCCTATG